CCCGGGCCTGCGGGGATGGCACGGAGGCGATACCGAGCGCTCCCGTCCCCCAGGAGAAACGCCGGCGCGCGCCGGGAAGGGAGCCCGAGCGCGTTATTAAGCTGCTTTCATATGGAAAGCTACTCAGGGAGACTCGGGGTTTGCCCGCACATGAAAATAATCATTCTGCTCCAGGCAGACGGTGAGCTCACCGGGAACCGCACCGTGCCGGGCGCTGCCTGCTCATCAGGCCAGGAGGCCAAAGCCTTCATCTTCCTGGGAGGAAGAGGATGCTGAGGAGCCTCCCCTCCCGGGCAGGGGAAGGTCAGCGCTCAGCCAGCGCGCGCTTTCCTCTTTCTACGCCGCAAAAAATAAGGATGACACAAGGGGAAGGGAGCTGGCGCGCGCCCAGCACAGGCTGCCCTGCCCCTCTCATCGCGGGGACGCCGCCCCAGTAATGATGGGCTGCAGGCAGGAGGCTGGGCTGGCCCGCAGGGTGACCTTGGTGGCCACAGAGGGACCACGGGCCAGCCCGGGCACCGGCCTCGCAGAAAACTCCCAAAGGATACAATTTCTGGATGAGGTCGTAGGCATGCTTGTAGTTCTGGGTAAGGAAGCAGAGGGACACGGTTGTCACGGGGTTGTGACACCAGGACCGGTACAGGCAGCAGAAGAGGTTACGGCTTTCCTGGGGAAAGAGGGAGCCATCGGGGTTGGATCACCAGTGGAAGCAAGGACGTGGCACGGAGAGCCCCGGGTCCCCGGCACCAACCCGCAGGGCTGGCAAGTGCCACCGAGACACGAAGCGATGTTCCTGGACCCACCAAGTCCACCTGGCACTGGCATGAGCCCACCAGCCTCAGGAGATGGAGACCAGGCGGGTTTTGGGGTGGCAGCATGACAGGGTGGCCCTCGGGGGTGCTGTGCCCACCGCAGGACGAGGGGCTGGAGGACAGTGGTGGTCCCACCCAAGGGGATACCACTGCATTGCTGGCCTTCGGCATGAGGAGGAGGAGAAGTCTTCCTCCCTCTCCCCGCCTTGCTTGGATGTCGCTGGTGCTGGTGGCAGCTGCTTGGCAAACCCCGTGGGCGTGTTCCCGGCAGGGACAGCTGAGGGACCGGGGGGCTCTGCTCCCGCTGCCACCTGTCCCCTGGCCCGTGTCAGGGCGGAGGGAGGGACGCGGCAGCTGCTCGAGGGCTTGGGGAGCCTGTTCCCATCCCAGGGGAGAAAAGCAAGAGTTGGGCACGTCCTCCAAGCCCCCCTCAACTCCTGAAGGGAGGAGGAATGAAGGGGCCACCCCGGGCACCCGAGCTCCAGCCCTGGGACCTGCCAGGCGGGGACCGAGCACCAAGACACGTCCCCACATGGCTGCCAGGTCCCCGCCACCCCCATTACGTCCCATCCAGTGGCTGAGCCTGCTCCTGCTGCCCATACCGGGGTCTTCAGGTCCTTCAGTTGGTTCCTCAGCTGGAAGAGCTCAGAGGACGTCAGCAGAATGGTGTTCAGGGTGTGGACCATGGTAGAGGCGAACTTGAGGTCCTCTTCCCGAAGCAGTATGTCTGCCATGGAGTGGAAGATGTTTTCTGCGTTCAGAAGTAGACAAAGCTGCCTGCGTATCACAGAGGAGAGAAACCAGGGGGGGGAAGGATGGTTAATGAGCGCAGACGAGACCCTCCCTGAGCCCGCACATCACCCCCTTCCTGCAGAGAGGACCAGGGATGACAGATACGGGCACACCAGAGGCTGGGCGAGTGTGGTGGCACCAGAGCGGAGCCGGTGTGGGGTGATACCAGGCTCTGCATTTGGAGGGTGCAGCTATTCACACCAGGGGAAAGCCAAAAACAATAGCTGGGCTAAGACACATCCCCGGTCGTGCTGCTCTGGGACCTCGCCAGCACCCACCACTGCGGCTTGCTGCCACCTCAAGCTTCCCGGTGACCTCCGTGGAGAGGTTTCAGCGTCGCTTTCCACCGTGACAACTGCAGGGAGCGTGCAGCAGCGCGGTTACAGACGGCGTGCGATGGCCCAGTCAGACCAGTATCCCCCCGACACCAGGGAACTGGTAGGGAGCGAGCGTGGCCACCGGGACAAGCTGCTCCCTCCCGGTGCTGTGCAACCCGGGAGCCCCCGAGCCAGAGACTGCCTTTCCCTCTACAGCCACCCTTTCTTCCAGTAACCTGCCCTGTTGCTCTTTGAACTCCTCCATGCTCCGGCTCCCAGGAAATCTGGTGCCGAGGGGCTCCGGAGCTCCAGCCGGCGAAGCTGGAAGATGCCTCTGCTCTGTCGGACACCCCGCCGGCAGCGCTCTCCTCAAAACACGGCGTAGCCGGCGTCGCAGCCCACGCCGATCCGCCTGGTCGGGCCCGGCAGGTCACAGCAGGAATGTTCTGCTTAACAACCTTGGGGCATTCTCAAGATTTTCAACATTTTAGACCAGAAACCAAAAACCAGATTTTTTTTTTTCTTTTTTTCTTCCCCGTTTGTTTGGATTTGGGGATTTCCTGTTTTTCCTCCAGGCTCCTGCCTTCTTGGGCAGTTTGTCTGAGGACACCTGAAACGCTGCCCAGCGCCGGCTCAGCTCTCCGGTGCCCACATCGGGGAGACCCGGGGGAGCCCCCCCAGCCCCCCCCAGCTTCTCCTGAAACTGGGATACTTCCCAGGTCCCCACATCTCCCCCACGGGCTGACGGGGAACCCCGGTACTGGGGGAGATGCTGGCATCCCCCAGAGCATCTCTGCTTTCCCCCGACTCCTACCAAGCACTGTTCCCCACCAGATAATCTCAGCTGACAACCAAATCTCCCCCCCCCCGGAGGCATCTCAGAAGGGTTCAGGAGGCAAAACAAGGAGCACCCGCTTCGGCAGCTGGGTGGGAGGCATTCACTAGCTGCTCGGCGGGTCTCGGTTTGGCCGGGAGGTGGGAGGCACACCTGAACCCCCCGGGGCCACGTTTTTACCTCCTAGGGTGAGGAAGAGGAGGGAGGCAAGTTTCCAGGTCCTGTCCCCGTGGGGAAGGACCGGTGGAAGACTATATGGCTACAGGAAGACACCGAAGACCATACCCTAAAGCCTGGTGGTTTAGGGACACAGGAGGTGGAGGGGGAATGAAGAAATGGATTTTCCTTCCCAACGCGTGGAGGAAGAAACCCCCCATCTTCCTCCCAATTCTGCCAAGCAACCCGTCCCCTCCTCGCCCAGCCCCGGCTCCTCTCCATCGGCAGCTCCCGCATCCCATGTGGCCGCCGCCGGACAATGAGATGCTCTGTGCGGGCTTTTACGTAACCCAACCCGGCGATCGCCCCGGACCCCGTTAAAATGGAACGGGCCGTGATAAATAAGCTCATTTATCCCAATTATTCTTACGTAACCGGCTGCATTCATGGGGATGAAAACGCTTCCCCGATTTCTCGCCGCTTGGACGTGGGCTGGCTGGAGGAGGGAGAGCGATGGGAAAGTGAAGCATCGAGGGAGGGAAGGGGAAGGCAGAGGCTTTTAGTCCTGCCTGATGGAGCCAAAAGCAAATCAATAGCTCAGCATTGCAGACAGGATCCGGTCATCGCCAGCTGCGGCAAAGCAAGCCCAGCCTGGGCAGGTCCAAGCCCAGCCCAGGAGTGAGCTGGCTCCATCCTACCCTTCTCCAGTAAGAGGGGATGACTGGATGCCCCATCCTTGCCGAGCTTCCTCCAGCAGTCGTGCCGGAGTGGGTGCCGGGCACTCGGACCGTGAAGCGGGATGATTTACTGTGCCCAAAGAGGGGACGGGTCCTCCAGGGAGAAACACCGGGATAGTTTTATCCCCAATTGCAAAGTGCCCGGTGTGCTGGTACAGCCGGGGGCCAGCTCTTCTGCACCGCTGCCGGCTGCTCGGAGCCGGCAAGGAGCTGGCGTTTTACACCTTCCAGGCAGAAAGGCTATAAAAAGAGCTCAAACAAGCTCAACCAAACCAAAAACAGTGCCGGCAAGTGTCGAGGGCAATTCAGCAACCTCCGGAACTGCCCTCGTCCGCCCACAGCAAGGACGCCGGTCGGGTCCCCGCTCCGACGTTCCTCCGTGGAAAAGGAGGGCTCTCGCTTTCCATAAATAGGAGCTCTGACATTTGGCTGGCTAACGCCGTGCTCCCAGCGAGCGGGGGGCTGAACGCGAACCGCTTTCTAATTTCAGGCCTGGTTTAGATTAGCGGGGAAGGGTTGGGTTTGTTCCCCCTCCTTTCGGTGGCACTGGGAAACTGGAAACCGTCGGGGTGTTAAAGGAGCAGCCGTGCCGAGTCCATCCCCCGGCTCCGAAGCTGTGCCACCCCCTGGGGATGCCGCCCCATCAGGGTGCCCACCCCCTCCAGCTGCCCCCAGGTAGGGGGTCTCTGGGAACCACCAGCAGAATGAGTTTGCCGGTGCTCAGCAGCTTGTCCTGATGCATCCGGAGACCCCAAACTCCCCTTCTGAAGCCCAAAAGTGGTCCCCAAAGGAGGGGACAACTGGCCAGCCGCGCAGCTGCCAGCCTCCATGACAGCAGCCAGCAGCTGAGCCTGACTGCCAGCGCCGGGCGGCTGCTGGTGGGACAGGAGGGGTCCCCCGGAGCCGATCCCCCGGGAGGCTTCGCTGGCACGAGGGGAACGCGAGGCTGGCTGGGAGGAGGCAGGGCACGGGGCCGTACAGGGGACAGGTGGCTCCAAACTAACCAGGCAGCAGCCGAGATGCCGGAGGGGTGGC